AGATATTGAATATTACATATAATTTAAATATTCTAAGATATTTCATAATTTGTATATTATAATATTCATTATTCCTTATACCTTCTTATTTAGATCTCTTTAGATCCTGAATCCCAAGTGATTAAATACTCTCCATCATCACTTAATTGTCCATAAATATTATAACTACCAAATTAAATACATTATTAAATAATAAAATCCCCATTTTGTTTCTTTCTCATTAAATTCACTTTCTTGCCAGTCTTATTCACAAGTATGCTTTTTGATTTTATGTATTATTATGGAAATAAACAATCACATATATATGAATCAAACTTTACTTCAATTTGTTTAATTTTGTTATACTATTTATTATTAATATCCAATTCATATATATGCATTTAATCTTTACAATAAGGTTAGAATGTAAATAAGTTATCATTAATAAAACATAATCGTTATCCATATACATCAACTTTTATCTTTTATGTAACACTCCAGTATTTATCCAACTTAGACTATTCTATTATTAATATTTATGAATCCCTTGAACAAGATATCAATTTATTTTATTATTCATTTAAACTTAATGAATATACAAAACCAAGATCACTAATGGTTTATTAACATATCCATTAATTATATTTAATCCAAAATTTGATTGTTTTATCATAACTACCTGATATTATTAAATCATCAGTATTATTTATCAATAAACAATCTATCGAATTTGAATTACCATTTAATATTTATTAACAATTCCATTAATTATTTCCAATCACCTACCATATTATAATTGAATTGTCGCTACTTCCAGATACAAAATTATTTGTCTTTTTCATAAAATTTAAAGTATGTACATCATCTGTATGCTTACTCAATAATTAAACTTGATTCAATTTTCCTTATTGATTTTCAAATACTTTAATATGCTATTTACATCCAGCTAAAACAATAGATTAATCTTTATTAAATGCAAAAGCAAAACAACAATTATCAACCCTTATTGAGTTTTAATTCATGAGCTAAAAGGTGAATTAGTTTGAATTTGCTTTAAAAGTACTTTGGTTTTATGGCTATTCTATTTTTGATTGTTTTAAGTCAACACTTTGATATTACTAATTACTCTATTTGATTTATTCGATAGATTATTTAAGTTATTTAAATAATATTTCCTCACAACCTTCTAATTAACATAAGCCCTTTATCATGTTATCTATCTATGAAATTCCTATTTATGAGAATTATTATATATTAAAGTTCAAATAAGGAATCAACTTATTTAGAAGGGAATCAAGAGATAATTTACACTCTTAAACATTCTTTTATACATTTTGAGCATTAATGATTCTTTTCTAAATCCATTCATTAAAAAGTTCAAAATATGTTAATTTTTCAAGATGTTGACTATGTTGAGGCAAGCAATAGTGACAATAAGGCCTTTAATTTGGGCATGTGCTATCTATGCAAAATCCAATTATTTATTGATTTTGATGATCAGCTTAGGTACATCTAATCTACATTTCCTATTTCTATTAAAATTATTATTTAAATAGCAAATAATTTTTGATCAATATAAATATCTAAATTTCAATAATAAAATTTAGATTTAAAAAATTATATAGAAATGATAACCAAATAAGTGATTTATTACAAAAGACAGAAGAGTTAAATTACCATAAATTTGAATAGGCAAGACATAAAATAGTATAAATAATATTCAGGTTAATACTTAGAGAAAACACTATATATTAAACCTTAGCTAAAAAATGATAATGATAAATGCTGTGATTTATCCGAAAGGGAAAAAGGAATTTATCTATTTAAATTCTTTGAAAAAGAATTGTCTTTTAGAATTGCAATAATTAAAATGATTGCAATTAATTTTATAATAAAAAGTATTTGGTTGGTTTAAATAACTAAACTACTTTTTTTTAATTTAATGCCAAAAAGTATGGAAATAGTTTTCCCTCAAAAAAAGATTACATCATGGCCCATTGTATTAAAGACTTAAACGAAAACATAAGGACAATCAAAATTTCAACCTAATTGATTGTTTTGTAATATAAATAAGAGTAATTGAATAAATCAAATCTCTTTAAAGCTGCCTAAAATAATCAGTTTTATAGTAAATAACAAATTATAATGTAACTTCTATTAAGAAGGATATTTTATGGAAAGTAATATGTTTTAACTATTTTATAATATTAAAAAATATATTGATTCTCATACATTCTCAGAATATTTTAATAATATTAAATGTTTCATAAAAAAAAAAGATGAAAGTCTTAGATGAATACTCCTTTATCAAGCAGTACAGCATTATAATTGATATTATCTAGTTTATGATTCAGCTTTATTATTATTTGAATGATAATTTATGGAATAAAAAGATTAAAGATTAATATATCAAATGAATTAGTATATAATGGTTACTGAATTAACTGATGCAAATGCTTTAAAGAAAACAGGGCCACAAACAATTAAGAAAACAGTTTGTAAAAGTTTAAAAGAACTTATGATAGATAAATAAAATCAATGAGATACCAAATATTACTTTGAATAATATTACATTTAGAGAATGTTTAAGTATATGATATTTATGTAGAGTAATTTAATCTTAAACTGCTATTAAATTATACTAAACCTAGAATATTTACTGATGCTTAGAGCGATTTTTCTTTGATTAATTTGAGTAATAGGACTTGGTTGAATAAAAGAAATAATGAAGGATTAATAATTGAGATGGTTCAATATTTCATTTTATGAATTGTAATTAAATAATAAAATTTATGGACTCACAACATTGTATTATTTCATTATTTCATGGCAGGAGAAATAAAGGATATCAAATTAACCCAGAAGGCAATCAATCAATGATATTGAATAAAGTAAAGAATAGGAACTTGCATTGATTTTCATTAAGCCATTTAATTTCTCAATCTTTTATATAACAAAGTAATAAAAAAATTTGATGAAGAGGAGTGAGATGAGAAATGAAGAATAAGCGCTCTTAGATTATGAAAAAGCCATTGAATTACATTCTAGAAATCTTAAATTTATCATAACAGCAGTTATGAATAAATTATATATAACAAAACTCAATATTATTGAGAGGATATAAGAATATGCACTCATAATTATAACCAGGTTATTCAATTAGATACTAATGAATGTTAAATTATATTTTAATAGATATAATAGAGATATTATATATAATTAGAAAGGAAATAATGAATAGGTATTCATAGATTATAATAAAGCCCTTTTATTAGATTTTAAAGAAGCGAAAAAATTTATTTAACGCAATAGAAATTTATTTTGAATAATGATTGTATATAACAATTAAGCAAATTACAAAATTGCACTCCTTTATACTAACAAGGCCATACATTCTAATCCCTTAAATGCTGATACTTTCACTAAGAAAAAATACTTTTTTTTATCCAATAGTAATTCTAGATAAAGACTTACTCAAGAAAAAAAGAGGCTTGTTGGGTTGGACTCAAAGAATAGTTTCTCCTATATTACATTAACCAAGGTAACAGTATTTATTTATGGGTATGAATCTTATTTGATGAAATTGAGAATAAAGAATATGCACTTATAGATTGTAATAATGCATTTTTATTGAATCCAATGAATAATATATAATTTATTAAAGGAGTGATCAATATTTTATTTTAATTAGGGTACTTTAAGATTATTAGGAATAAGGAATAGGCACATCTAGATTTTGCAAAGTACATTCGATTAAATCTTAGTTTGTTCCTTGTTAATGTTAACATAATAAATATTTTTTCTAAATAGCTTCTAGATATTTAGTGAAGGGAAATCAAGAATAAGCACTCATAGTTTTTAAAATGCTCATTACATAAAGCAAATTCTTAAGATAATAAAAATAGTCTAATTTGATTCGGAGTCATGAAAATAAGGTAAAAAATGAATAAAATCTCCTCAATTTAAGTATGTCCATTTTATTGAATCATAAAGATCTTAAATCTCATTATGACAGAAATAAACAATAAAATATTTCAAATAAGAGTTAGTGCTTTCCGATTAATTTGAGACAAAAGATCAGTAATCAGATAATCCCTTTATTTTGTCAATTTTAGATAAACTTTTTTTGATCAATTCTAAATTATTATACAATTATATATTATTTATTCTAATATAAAAGCAATTAAGTTTTAGATAAATAAATATCTTATTTAAAATAAATTATTTCAAAGAATTTGTTTAATTTTTAAACGATCCTAAGAATTTTCCAAAAGGGCTCAAATTATGTTTCACAAACATAGATGAGTGTTTTCAGAATTATTAATGAGCCTCTCTTTAATAAAAATGAGAATTAACACGAATCTATTGGAATCTTGACAAAAGGTAATTTAAAAAGGGTCAGAGGAGAGGGAGCTTGGGAATAAGTCGAGACGACTGTGTGATATCGAAACTTGATAACAAAAAGCAAAATTAGATGGTCATAGTGGAGCTCTCTAGACAGTATGCTTCTCTCACGAGAAAGTACCTTTACATCTGGTAGTGATGATATATCTATCCGTTTATGAGATGTTCAGGCCTGAGTAGTATCCTGAATAAACATAACTACTATGTCCATCTAATTTAGATTTATGTTTTTTGACTGATGGTACAATATTATCATCTAGTTATTGGAGATAAGTATTTTCTGTTATGTGATGCCAAGACAGAAATGCTTAGAGAACGTAG